CTGGGGAAGCGTGCCCATGTTAAATTGCAGTGTTGGTGCTGTTTCTGGGGATGGCTTTGCTTTTCTGGAGAATTAAAGGCTAAAGAATGAAGCAGCAGGGCTGGATTTTTTTTGTGTTCAGTGTCCATGCTCAGGGTGGCTGTTTAAACCAGCTGATTGCATTGCCTGCTGAAGACATTTGAAAAATAAAATAAAAAATCTGTCTTTCTTACCAGTGTCAAAATTGGAGCTCACTTCCCTCCCCTTCCCTATTAAACACAGCTTCAGTTGTAGATATCAAAATCTCTTCTAAAGTTCCAGCCACAAATAGGGAGCTTTTTCAGCCTGGCTGCCCTCCCTCATCTTTGATCTTCTTGCACACTGCAACTTGTGCAAAGGAAATGGGATTCTCCTGCCTCTCACAGGCCCTGCATGCTCTGTAGCTCTGGCACTGCAAAACATCTGCTGCTTCTATTTGGCCTGAAATAGTACCGATGTCAGGATCCAAACAACAGGGAAATAATCTTCATTTTTCATGCTCTACAGTCTGGCTCCAATTTGTTACAGACCCTCTTCAACCAGGTCAGAGGAGATGACGGATGTTCACACACCTGACAACAATAAGGGAAGGCTGGTGGCATGCACTTGGAGCAGCAATAAAGGAGGGAATAATTTTATTTTACATACAAGGAAAAATAATCAGTGAGTCAGAAGTAATTTTGCTTTGCAAAGCACAGAGACAGTTTGGATGGTTTGCAAACTAGCGGTGCTGTTGCATGCAAACGTGATGGTTTGCCCTGTGTCTGATCTGTGTCTTCTTTTGTCTTCTTGAGGATGCACTGAGCTACCCAGGGGTATGCAGAAAGTTACCTGAGCCTTTACAAAATAGCCTGCTGCTTCATCTGATGATTACAGTGTAGGACGCTGTGTTGGCAGGCCAGAGATTGGCTTTCTTCTGACTTGAATATGTGTAGAAAAGAATCTATGAACCAATGTTATAATGACCAGTCTGGGTGCCTAAGTTCTGTACCCAGCTGTGTTGCTACTGAGCTAGAGCAGGCCTTGGGAAGTTAAGCTAACTGTAACCTCCCAGTTTTGGTGTCTATGGCTGCAAAATATGGGTGAAGTTTACTCAGCTTTGAGGTCAATAACCATAAAAGTCTTTTTATTAGAACAAGCCTGATAGTGAGTGCAGCTGTCATTTGTCCTTTTTTTTTTCTTTCCTAAAATAAATAAATTAAAAAAAAAGGCAAAGGACAGCCCAGTCTTTAATCTTGATTCATACACACAACAAGCTTTAGGACAATAACAAAGAAAGAAAATGAAAATAAATATGCAGTACTGTGCTGGAATGGGAGGTCTGCTTAGAGTGTCTTCTCTGCTATTTTTTTTTTGTTGTTGTTCCCCCCCCCTCCTCTTCCACAAATAAGATGTTATCCTTAGTAGTACCAAATACCCCTTCAGCATCTACATGTTCTGATCCTTCTATGTTGCTTTCTTTTGGTCAAGCTTACTTGCAGATGCTTGGCACTGAAGTGTGGATGTCAACCAGCATTTTTCTGTTTCTGCTGGGTGATCACGGATACAGTATTTTTTCTCTCCATGACTCAATTTCTGCCTCTGTAAAGAGAAGCTGCTAATAGTCCTCATCATTGTACACTGTGATCTTCTGACAAAAGACTGACAATAATATACTGACTTTTTTTTTTTTTTTTTTAAAAAAAAAAAAAAGCTATTCCAGGTTCTCCACTGCCAGCACGATCTTGTGTAGATCCTTTGGACAAAGGTAATACCAGAGGACAGAATTTCAGAAGTCTTCCACTTAATGGATGTTGAATTTCTCTGAAACCTACTTGCCTTTGGGCTTGTGGATGGGAAACAGTTTTTGTAACAAAAATTACACTGCTTCAGTTATACAGCATGTCCGCGTTCCTCAGAATCACTGCAACTGCAGCAAGGAGGTTTACTTTAAAAATGTAGAACCAGACTGTGCTAATGACTAAATTATACTGATGGCTGAAGTTTAAGTAACAGTTAATGCACTAATTTCAGCATAGGAAATATACTAAAAAAGCAGTAAGAGCTCCTCTTGATCTTCATAATTAATGAGAACTGCCATGATCCTGCAGTATATTTCCACCCACGCTTTCTTTTATGTTAACAAGTGGGTAGGAATGCATGGCAGTCAACCCAGCAGAAAGCCTTCTTGCAGAGCACTTTGCTTGCATGACACAAGCCAGCCTTGCACCCCTGAAGGGTCCTGGACCCACATCTTGCCCTGTTGTTGAATGCTGGCCAATGGTCTGACTTCTTTCAGTGAACCAGAACAAGGCCAGGCCTTCAGACCAGAACACATCTAACATGCGTGTCTAATTGACATGCTCCCAAATAACCGTCATCAGTTGTGCTGAGCATTTCTGGAAGGGAGATGAGTAGAACTCATATCATTTGACTTTAAACATCTCCTTTGCCCTAATTCTCGAGTACCCCTGTAATTCATGGATGTAAACTGTCATTGTTAGCGAGCAATTAATCTGTGCTACTTTAGGTGTCTGCAAGATGTTGAGGGGAATTGCACCCCAGTGCCTGTTTCTCTGCACTGTTTACATAGGAAGTCTAGACAGCTGGCTCAGATATAGATGCCTGAAGACAGATAAGAGGTTTCTTTCACCTAAGGAACAACAGAATCATCTGGATATTAGAAGCTTTGCCGTGTCTCTCAGTTGGGTAACAAATGCCTGAAAATCGCGGCGCCACTTGACTGAACTGTTATAACTCTGCAAGATCTTAACAGTTGGAGAGCTGTTTACAAGACTTTTCTGGGCTGTAGTCTTGGCCTAGACTGGGTAAGGCCTACAGCAGTCACTGATCCCTGAGATAAGAACTCTTTCAGCAGCTCTCTAATCAAAGAAAAAAATAGATTTTCTTTAAATCACTGCTTTCATCTTGCTTCTCCCACCACTGCTGGAATTTTGTGCTCTGCCACTGAATGCAGCAGAATATTTGTGGTGTCAGCTTGAATGAACTTACGTTCTTGTGGCGGCTGCACTTCTGAGATGATGGAAGTCACATAACTGGAAGTAGACACCAGTGAAGTTGCAAAATATTTTTGAATGTTGCTGTTTCTGCCACCATTCAGTTCTCAGAGTACATTGGCAGGGAACACGCATGCATCTAATGGGGATTTCTGGGGTAGGAAAAAGACTGAAGTGGCTAAAATCTGAAAATTTTTCTGACTTCTGAGGTCCTGATGCCACCACTTCACGTGGCCTCTAGATGCCCTCCGTAGACTTTAAGAGGTAGTTGTCTTTGGGGGATGACTGCAGGACTGGGGATTTAGGAAGCTTAACCTCCTGGAAACAGATGACTTGTTTCATCATCTCATGGAGAGGTGCTTTGTCCCTTACTGCTGGGTAATAATTTGGAAAGATGCCTGAAAGCTGTGGCTTATCTTCTGTTCTTATTCAAACATAGCAACACAGATAATGGCAAAACACAATATGGTTCTGTTCCTTTTGTTTCCCTAGATGCATGTGAGAGTATTCCCTCCATTTTAACGTTACTTTGACTGTGTAATGCTTCAGCTTGCCAGGATAATTTAGAAGAAAAAGGTTGTGAAGCTTTTCAGTGATCCCAGCAGCTAATGCAAATAGTCACCAAATCAAAATAATGGATCTGTCAAGTAGAGAGAGTTTTGACTATTTGTGAGAAGCCACTTCTCAAAACAAGATCTACTTGAAGTGGTATGATATAGGAGGGTAGCAAATGGCAAAAGGTTTGTCAGGCAAATGTGACAGCCCAGGCATGGCAGAGATTGGATACCACTTTTCTACGTGTGATAGTTTAATTGAAAGCTGTGGCCCTGCTCACCTGTGTAAAATTAACAAGTCCTTATATATTCATGTGCTGAAGCTTGAGTGTCCTGTGTGCTTCTTGTCTATGATTATCAGCACAGGGTTGTTTGTCTGCACGCAGCCCCTGTGAATAAACAAATGGTTATCGGGAAATAGCAGTGCCACTCTGCCCAACGATGGGACCTCAACAGTTATTTTCATCCTGAAGCTTTATTTGTGGAAAGCAGGGGCAGTGGAAGCTGAATGGGGGAGCACTAGATGGAAAAGGCACAAATTCAAGCCTTTTCAAGAATTCAAGAATGGGTCCTGAGGCCACACCGCAGTGGATGGTCCCGGCTGATCTTTCCCTCTGCCTCTGAAAATTCCCCTGAGAAAGTTTAGTCAGAGAGGCAGGCTTGCCAAAATTACTCAAGGAAATGACTTAAGAGCTCGGAAATTTTTCTAGTTTCATCTCATTAAAGCCAATAAGCTCAATTCTCCTCAGTCTTGCATCAGTGTTGCAGAGCCCATGGGTGTGAGGGAAGCCTGACCCCGTGGTGCAGGCCTGCTGCTTTGAGGAGTGCGCCATGCCTGGTGCCACAGCCTTTGGTGGTGGGATGCCCCAGGTCGCTACTGGGATGTAAATATGGTAGTCATCATGGTATATGGCTATTTGAGCAAAGAAAGTATAGTAGGCATTATAATACATGGCTATGTGAATGAAGATCCCTTGGGAGGACAGCAGGCCCTGGGCAGCCTGCTCTAGAGGTTGGCAACCCTGCCCAGAGCAGGGGGGTTGAAACTAGATGATCTTTAAGGTCCTTTTCAACCCAGGCCATTCTATAAGAAAAAAGTGCTCTTAAGATTCGAGACTTCTGCTTCAGAAACACAAAAGTGATGAGCAATGTGCCAGCTCTCAGCATCGCGTGTCAGAGCTGGGCCTGGTCCTGCAGCAGTGAGAACCGGAGGGCAGGAAATGGCATCGAGCCACAGGCTACTGGCAGGCAAAATGTAACCCCAAACTTGCTGACCTTCTTTGTCATAATGTAGACATAGAACTCTAAATTAAATGTTTACATGGAGGTTTTAGCAACAAGAACAAATTATAGAAGATAGAGCAGAAAATTGTGCAGTTGATCACAAATGACAAGGTTTAATTTCTGAGCAATACTAAATCTGAAATTCATCTGTAAACATGAAAGAGGATTTTTTTTTTTTTTTTTTCAAAACTGCTTTAAATTTACACTCCCCCTCCTTACAAAATTCCGGGCTGTGGGCAGCACTTCTTGTTGGTCTCTCTGGAGCTAGCAAAGGGTGATCACCATCACCACTAGTATCGTGATAAGGGGAAACCCTCAGACCAGAGGATGTGAGCTGGCAGAGCTGGTGAGCCAGGGTTGAAGCCAGGTGAAGCTCCTTCTCCTGTTGGAGTCCAGAGCAGGACTCAAGAGGCACCTTCTCTTGCAGCTCCTTTCTCCTGGTGACACGCTGTCTCCCTAGGCAACTGCAGATTAGAGAGGAGACAAAACATCTTGCATCCAAAACCACAAAGCACTGACTTGGGTTTGGATGTAGGAAAATACCAGGGAAGCGGAGCGAGCGAACAGTTGAAGCAGAGGCGTCGCTGTCGGGTGCTCCAGGTCCTATTTTTGGTTGGGACCAGCCATTTCGCTTTGCTTTGGCTTCCCCTCTGCGAGATGGAAAATGAGGCTGCTCGTGGCTGGGTTGTCTTACTGAGGCTGTCAGCTTTCATCTTCGGGATGATGCTCTCCTGACTTCTGCTGCTTCTCTGCTCTGCTGCCCACACCTCCTTCACTTGCACTTCTCCCATGTTTATCTGAGGATATGGGGCAGAGTCAGGGCACCAAATTACACGACCATTTCCAGGTGGGACCCCACTCCTCTGCCACATGGTTTGTGGCCTTCCACTGCAGTGTCTGATGTGCAAAGTCTGATGTACAAAGTCTGGTGCCATCCTTTGGGCTCTCCAAGGTGGCTGCAGAGCTCGTGATGTGCATTGCGTGGAGTCATGGCTCTTGCACAAAGCGCTTTCTTTCCCGTCCAAGTTAAAGATTCAAGGTCGGGCACAGGCACTAGATAGGACCCAGCGCAGGGTGTTTCCACCTGATGTCAGCCCTGCTTTGGCTCTGGGAGTGAGCAGGAGGCGGTGAAGGACGAGTGATGCTCATTAGCTCAGCCCCCCCTCTTCCTGCCATTGAATGAATGAGTTTCCACAGGCTGCAGGTGCTTTCACTTTGCAGCGTGAAAAATCAGGGCTCTCCCATTTTTATTTTTTTCCCCCCCAGGAAGCACCTCCAGCCCTTCCTGCTAATCCCATTTGCTAGGATGTAAATTGGGGTGCGCTCAGCGCCCCTCCCTCCCGGAGCCCAGCCCCGCGGCCACGAGGGAAGGAGGGAGGGAGAGAGGAGACCGCATCCCTGCTGAGCCAGAGGTAGGCTCGGCTTTATTATTCTTGTCCTTTCCCCTCCCATTTCTTTAGGGAAGGGCTGCAGGCAGAAAAGCTCTTATTTTCCTTTTTTCTTTAAATTTATTATTTTTCTATTTTTTCCATTTTATTTTTTATTTATTTATTTTTTATTATTATCGCTTATTTTTTCGGCTCGGAAGGGAGGGTTTCCCAGCCGGAGAGAGCCGAGCGAGCCCTCCGCCCGCTTCCCCGCAAGGGCGGCCTCCAGGAGGAGCCTCCCCTCCCGCCCTCCCGCTCCGTTTCCGCCGCCTCCGCGGCCCGGCAACCACAAAGATTTCGGCGGGGTGGGGAGGGGAGGGGAGGGGGGGCGCGGCTCGGGGCCTTGCCGGGCCCCTCCGCACGGGGATCGCTTCGGCTCCGCTCGGCTCGGTTCGGCCCCGCCCGGGAGGGGCTCGGCGGAGGGGTAAGGGGGGCACCGGGTGGGGGGGGGGGGGACTCGTTGGGGAGGGGGCGGCCGCGGCTCCCGCAACAAAGGCGGGGATGGACGGAGGGAGCCCAGGGTGGGTGGCGGCTCCTCGTCCTCAGGGTGGGGAGGGGAAGGCGCTGCCCTGCCTATGGGGTGGGTTTTTTGGGGGGAGGGCTCCCCCATCCTGGCTCTGCAGCCCCCCCACCCCCGAGGGGGGCACCCATGGGGTGGGGGGATGCGGGGTTACCTCATGGGTGGGGGCACCCAAGGGGGCTCAGCACTGGGTGGCAGCGCTGTAGGGGGGTGGGGGGGGGGTCCCAGGGGGTGCTGGGGGTCTGTGGGGTTTGGGTCGTGGGGCTGGGAGCAGACGGACCCGCAGGGCCTGGTGCTGGGGGGGTCATCAGCAATTAGAGAGGTGGAGGTAGGGGGGGCGTCATCAGCAATCAACGCTGAGCAAATTGGGGTCTGGAAATGGGAATTTTCTTTTGTCTCCGGGCAGCCTGGCTGCTTGCTGGGCTCCGTCCTCTCGCTGCCTTTTTGTTCTGAGCAGCCCAGGTACCGACACGATCCGAGTGCTGAAGGAACGGACGCGGTGAGGTTTTTTTGTTCCCGCTGGTAGCAGAGATGTGCCCTTCAGCAGGCAAGGCCCAGCTGGGTGGCTGCTGGCATCCTCCTCAATGAATGAACCAGGCAGGTCCTGAGCTCCTTGCATCTCCTGGAAGGGAGCAGTGAGCGCCCTGCCTGGGGAAGCACCCGGGGATGGAGCAGGGGCTGGTGCTGGTACCTCGGAGCAGCCAGGCAGCTGCGGCTGTGCTGGGAAGCGCTGCAGACAAAGCACCGTGTCGGTGCTGATCTGCTCGGTGTCAGCCCCACAGGCCTGCCAGCCCCGGCTCAGAAACCCATCCTGCTGAGTTTCACCAGCCCAGCTGTGTGTTGGTTAGGAGGGTTTCCTTGGGTGACTTGCATTTTGAGAAGGATTGGTCAGTGCGTGGGCAGTTCGGGGTGCCTGTCTGGGTTTGTTGGCTGTAGTCCTTCCAGCAGCGTTCCTGTGTTTAGTGCTCTGACAGAGAGCCCTGTAATCAGCAGCACCATCAGTCCCCTGGTCGCTGCTGAGGTTGTGGTGCACAACACAGCTGCCTGGCTTGTTCTTGAACTTGGGTCACTCCAAGGAATTACCTGCCTGCCGTTAGAGCCTGCCGGGAGTGGGTCTGCACAGAGTGGCTGTGCTCTCACGAGGAGTTGTTGCTGCGTGCCAGAAATCACTGAGAGCACAGGGCTTCAAAGCATGGCTCTGAGACAAGCCACGAGTTAAAATGTTAGCACCGGCCACTACAGGCGTGTCAGGGAGAAGCGGTGCTGGATCCAGTTTATCATCTCAGGAACGCTTGTGTGGGGGCCTGCCTTCAGTTATGGGGAAAAACTGTGTTTTAAGGGATGCTCTTGGGGTACGTATGGACTGGATTATCTGCTGAGCTGAGGGTTGGGATGTGCTTCTCTGACTTCCCACTGCCTCTGGCCTTGGAGGCTGCCGTAATTTATGCCAGCAAGTAGCGGTTCCTGGTGTGTTTCCTCTTCTTCTTCTTTCCTCTTCTGCATTGGCAGAAGAAATGATGAAGAACCCAGAGGGGGATTTTCCAGTGCTGAGGGATGCGACTGTGTAAGGGTGTGCACCCCAGTTCTTCTTCCCTTCTATTACTGGCTGGATAAAATGGGTAAGGGCATGGATTCCACCTCCTCCTTGAGGTTGCTGTTTTTAATTATGAAGACGCCTCCTCTGTACTTGAAACTCAGGCGGAAATGAATAAATCTCTCTTTTTTTGTCCTCATCAGGATTATGACAAAGCCAATATATAAGGCAGACTCCATCCCCCGGCTGCATGCTGTCGGTGCCGCTTTGCGGAGCGTGCACAACACGTGGTGAGGTTTATGTGCTGGCTTCTAAAGCTCTGGGAAAGCCCAGGTACGGGTAGCTGGACCCGAGCACGACTTGTTGCTAACCGCTGGTAGAAACCGGTATGGACTTAGCTCAGAGAGAGGCTACAGTGATAGCTATTTTTTTCATAAATATGATTTATAAGTGTCTTGTGACCTGTTCTCCCCTCCATCTCCCAAGGGCTCTGAGCACAAGAACAATCAGGGAAGTTGCTGAGAAGCGCCAAGAAAATGTTTTCTAGTGCTTTTCTAGCGCTTTATTGCTGAGTTAGATGGCCAGCAAAGTCTCTCTTTTTCTGTTATCACTGCTCTCCTGATATCCATAACAGAGTTTTGGGTCTTGGTTGGTTAGGAGAGTGCCTTGGCTGATGTTACTGGGAATGGGGGACCCCAGTAAGACTGGGGCTTTGTAGTACTGGTCAGTTTCCTAAACCAGCCCAATGAGGTCAGTCCCTGAATGAAGGAGAAGGACTGTCAGAGGTCACTTGAGAAGCCTGGGTAGGAGAAAGGAATTGGACGTGATGTTCCTGAGTCCTTCTCTAATGCTGCCTTCTCCATGCTCTGCCTTCTCTGTCCCACCTCAAAGCTCTCATCCTTGTGGCTGGTGCTGACAAACGCAGCAGCCAGTCAGTGCATTGCTGCACAAAGGCTCTCTCTGCCATGCCACCATGCTCTCAAAGCATTTCCTTGTGCTCAGCTGAGGGTACCCCACATGCCATGTTTGTGTGTTGGACTTTAACTGTGGTGATAAATGGGGCAAATCAAATTTGCTTCCTTCATTTTCGGCTTTAATTTCTTGCTCTTATTACTGCTCTTGCTGTAGCTACCAGTGGGAAAAATGACTTCATTGCATGTGACTCTGAGTCTGGCACCTCAAAGTAATACTTACTGCTATTCCTGAAAAAAACAAAGAAACCTCATTTAAAAAGGAAAAAAGGCAGTATTTCTGCATCGGGCTTTCTGGAGCCCGTTCCCATGCTGTGGCACCCTTTTTGTCTTTCTAAATGAGTGTCTATAAAATAAGCTGTGGCTGTTTTAGCAAGAGCATAAGCAACGAAAGATGTGTGAAGAAATAAAACGAAGCATTGTCGTGTTTTGTTATCGCAGTTTCAATTTTTATTTTACTTCAGAGTGATGCAATGAAATACAATGTTGACTTGGATGAGAGCTGAAATGGCTTGCTACTTTCCAGTCAGTGATGTATTTTTATTATGCTAAGCCTCACCTGCCTAAGTGGTTGTAGGGAGACGTGGTAGAGGCTAGGGAAATGTTTTCCTGGGGGTTGAGCCAGCAGTACGTCCCCTTCTCCCCATCCCTATCTGTGCTGAAGCACAAAGGGAGCTTGCAGTTCGCTTGTTTTGTTTGCAGAGTTAATGTTCTGAACTCTGATGCTGGCTCTCTCGATGACCCTGCCTGTGCCTGGGAAAGTCAACTGATTATTTTTAAAATGTATTTATACTCTGTGTCTATAAACTAACACTTCAGAATGAGTTCCCAAGTCTTTTGATGTGCTGGATGCTAAGAGAGAACAGTGTCCAATAGAGCTGTGTTCATCTCTGCTGCTGCAGTTTTTTGAGTGATTTTGGGGAAAGTCTTTTCTGTCTCTGTATCAATTTGTCCCAGGTGCAAAATAGGTGGTGTAGTTCTCACCTCCTTTGAAGTGTGTGAATGAAAAGCTCTGTGGATGTTGGATATTTTGGACCTTGGAATTTAGGTGCTTTTCACCTCTGCTTCCCCACTCAGTTCCTTTAAAGATAAGACAAAAAATAAATAATTGTATTGCTGGTGCCAGAGCTCTTGGTCAAAAGGAATGCTGTTTTCTTTTAGCGAACAACTTGTGTAGGGATACGAGGGAAGGAATTCACAAAACTTTGGGGTGGCAGAAACATTGAGAGGTAATCATTCATCTGTCTGTTCTGGGTCTTCATTGCTGGCATTCAGGATGGGGGTTTGAAGGTGTGTGTGTATTTATATGTATTTCTTTGTTGTGGGCATTGAGGGAGGTTTTGCAGCCTCTGAGGACAGTCCAGCACAGCCCGAAGTAATGTAGCTGGAGCTGTGGCGTGTGCATCTTTCCCTTTCAGGTTGCTGTCATTGTCACTGCCCTGTTTGTACAAAGGACCTGTACCAAGCTGTTTAGTCAATGCAACCAGCACAACTTCTTTCGCAACGTGTCTGGGAGAAGGCTTCCAAGCCAGTGCACATGCTTCTGCCATAATCACCGACAGAAGCTTTCTCTGGCTGATCTGTTCTTCTTCTCCCTTTGACGCGCTCATCTCCCCTTTGTTTGTTGCATCATGCTCTGAAAACTTCTGTGTCCGCCAATTAGTGCTGGAAACTCTTCAGCAATCCCCGGCAGCTGCCTGTTGAAACAAACTGTGCTTTCCCATCCCTTGCAAACCCTCCCCTTCGCGACCTGCAGGCACATCCCCTGGCTGCTGAGACAAACCTCCCTAGGAGAGGAGGCCTCTCTTGGAAGATACGGGGAGGCAGCTGCATCATGAGATGCATTTTGTGGGTTTTTTAGCCTTGTATTTGCCCGTGTGCAATACTGCCTCACTGGCTCTTGTCAGCCCCCTGCATGAAGCCTGTGCTGGTGATTAAAGCCTGGTCCTTTGCTATATTTAGCTTATAACTATTTGTTTTATAACACCGAGGTCCTTGACACGCAAACTGGAGTAGGTCAATCTGCAGCCTTGAGGAAGTACTTTTATTTCTCTGGATGTGTGCTTCCCAGCTGGGAAACTTGGGATGTTCTAGCTGGTGATCAATCCACCACCATTCCTAATGGAGATATAATGTTTTACAATTGGGCACAAGTATTTCCCAGCCTGGAACAATAGCATGTTTCTGCCTTTTTGTGCTTCAACATGTCTTCTGCTCAAGTGAGCCTGTTTAGTCCCATGCTGTCAGTACTTCCCAGAGTCCAGGTGCCCGATATGAGATGGAATCGTAGTGCCTTGTAGGCTGCACTGCCTGTGCATTCCCCTTGAAGCATTATGAGAAACACCTTGACTAAGACCATGGAGGAAGAGATCTCTGAATCCCCGAGATTAAACCACCGC